GTTTTTAGACCAAATATTACAGATTTGAACAAATACGCACAAAAACATCAAAATTAGCACAGAAACAGTACTATATAACATTTTAGAGACATTCTAGACAGTTTATCAGCTAAAAAAATTAATTTTGGGGTAAGTTACTCCTTAAGTGGAAACGGGTCAGTGTCATGATTAGGTTTAAAGGGAGCATCCCTGAAAGKCTCAGTCGTTCATGATCTAGGATGGGGTGAGGTTCACCACTTTGTGAACAACTGTGTGAACAAACAATACAACAGTTTAAGAACAACCTTTTTTCAATGAACAATTAGAGAATTTATTGATTTAATCATCTACAGTCGATAATATCATCAGAGCTTCAGAGAATCTGAACAAATCTCTACAAGCAGCAAGACTGAAAACCAACACTGAATGTTKGTGACCATTGACCCCTCAGGCAGCTCTGCRTTAAAAACATCATTCTGTAACAGACGATTGCACAGGTGCTCAGGAAGACTTCAGAAAACCATCATCAGTGAGCACAGTTCATCTCTACAGCTACAAGTTAAAGCTCTATCATAAAGTTAGATACCAACACCCAGAAACACGGCCGACTTCTCTGGACCCGATCATCTGAGATGGACTGACACAAAGAGGAAAAGTGTCCTGTGGTCGGACCAGTCCACATTTCTGATTGTTTTTAAGAAATCATGGACATGGTGTCCTCCAGGACAGTGAAAAAGAACTGTCTGGATTATTATCAGCACAAAGTTCAAAAGGTATTAACCAGCCTCTCTGATGGTATGGAGGTGTATTAACCAGCCTCTCTGATGGTATGGAGGTGTATTAGTCAGCCTCTCTGATGGTATGGAGGTGTATTAACCAGCCTCTCTGATGGTATGGAAGTGTATTAGTCAGCCTCTCTGATGGTATGGATGTGTATTAGTGTCACACCTGTGAAGTCATTATTAATGCTGAAAGCTACATCCAGGTTTTGCTGCCATCCAAGCTCCACCTTCAGGGACGTCTTGCTGATTTCAGGAAGACATGAGACACAGTCTGCATGTGTTCCATCACTGTGGCTTCAYAGTAAAAGAGTGCAGGAACTAGACTGGTCCTCCTGCAGTCCAGACCTGTCTCTCCYRGTSMAAATATGTGGAGCTTTATGAAGAGACCCTGGACTGTTGAGYAACTGAWGTTGTTCATGAAGTAAGAATAGAAAGAATTCARCTRCAGAGCTTCAAAAACCAGTGTCCTCAGTTCACAAACACTTACTGAGTGTTGTTAAAAGGAAAGATGATGGAACACAGAGGGAAACATGACCCTGTACAGATTTATTAGAAGCTGTTTCATTACCAAATTCATCAACTTCAAATTGAGTCATTGGGCCTCATGCAAGAACATGTTCGTGTTCTTATCCTAAATTTCTCTTACTTTTGTTAGTACAATGGGTTCGTACGAACA